TTTCCTTGTCAAAAATGAGGATCATACTTAGTTATAGTGATAAGGGTTAAATGAGACAATAGGGTTGTACAGTTCTTGCCATTGTGAATGCTCAGTCAAGTTTTTAAAAATTTTACCCAAAGGGCGGCACTTGTAGCTCAGTGGGTAGGGCACTGGCCACATACACAGAGGCTGGTGGGTTCGAACCTGGCCTTGGCCAGCTAAAACAATGGCACCTGCAACAAAAAAATAGCTGGGTATTGTGGTGGGTACCTGTAGTCCCAGCTACTTGGGAGGCTGAGGCAAGAGAACCGCTTAAGCCTAAGAGTTTGAAGGTGCTATGAGCTGTGATGCCACAGCACTCTACTAGGGGTGATAAGGTGAGACTCTTGTCTCTATAAAAAGAGAAAAAAAAAATTTGCCCAAAAATCTCAAAACCAGTTTTTTTCCTATTAAAAATATATATTCATTGAAGAGAATTTAAAAATGACATATATATCAGAAAATAGAAATTGCCTATAATCCCTATTCCTAGCAAAAATCAGTATTTACGATAACAGTGTGTTGTACTGCCTTCCAGGCTTTCTTTTTATATATGTATTACATAATAATAGTGGCATTACTAATAAATTTCTGTTTCCCTAGAGTAGTTCCCAAAAGGCCTGTTACCAAGGAGAACTTAGGGCACTGGGGACTGTGAGCTACCTGAGACTTTCAGAATGAGTCCCAGATTCAAATGTACTCCCTGGGGATTCAGGGGGAAAGGCATTTCTGTTCCAGTCTCTGGATGGCAAGGGTTTTAAGAGCTCAGATATTCTTAAAACATTTTTCTCTTCAGGATCTGGGAAGTCTTTGCTTAAAGATGGTATCTGTATGGAGGGCACTATATAGATTGGTAGAGTGGATCTCTTTAATTGACTAAATTTGTTTTGTCTACTGTGACTTGTTCCTCTAGAATCTAAGTCTGGCTCCCGCCCCCGCAAGCCACCACCCCGGAAACACACTCGATCCTGGGCTGTGCTGAAGCTGCTGTTGCCGCTGCTGCTGTTATGTGTGGCAGGTGGGCTGGTTGCTTGTAGGGTGACAGAGTTGCAGCAGCAGCCCCTCTGCACCAGTGTGAACACCATCTATGACAATGCCGTCCAGGGTCTACGTCGCCACGAGATCTTCCAGTGGGTCCTCCAGACCGACTCTCAGCAGTGAGCTTGTCCTCAGCACCTGCTGCCTCCCAGCCTTGGAGCTTGGATTCCTATGGAATTGGGTTCTGCTGGACACAACCTCTTTTTAGCATCAGACCTACCTGCCATCATCAAATGGCTACTGATGGGTACTTGAGACCTCCTCTTCATAGGACTTCTTTGTTCCTAAGTCAGGGTTCCCTGGTGGAATGAGGAGAAATGGGAAGTTGGGGGGAACAGTTATCTGCATGCCTAAAGGAATAGGCTTGGGGGTGGGGAGAGAGAAGACATAGCCTTTTCTAGTTATACAAAGCTATGTAAAGGCAAGGCTCGTTTCTACTAAATGGTTGGCTGTCACTACATTTATACTTTTGTATGTCACAAACCCTTTCGTTCATTCCTCCCTGGGTATCTAGGGCTGATCAGGAGGAAGTGTTATTGGGGACTAGGAGGACACCACACTCAGCATATCCAGCCTAACTTGGGGGGAAGGTATAACTATTTTCTGAAGGACTTCAGCAATTTCAGCATTTTAGGGACAATATAAAATCTCTGGCTGTGAGAGGGACTTCATGACTGCCCAGTCCAATATAACATTTGCACACAGAAAAATAGAGGCTTTTTATGACTTGCCTACAGTCTCCCAGCTAGTTTCAGGCAGAACTAGTTTCCTCCTCTGAAACTGTTTCTTTCCTCATTATGCCACTTTTATAATGTCCTGGGAGAACAGAACTCACACCAGAATCGAATGTATCTCAGCCAAAGTATAGAATCTTTCACAGTAGACAGATTTGTGGCATAGAAACCTCATACCATCAGGGTATAAGGCAGCTCCCATGGAGTCCTGCCCTAAGTTCTGTGGCTCTCTTAAATGGCAGCAGTCCAGGCAACTTGCCTCGATTTTAGAGCATTAATCCCTGATTGCCAATAAGCAGGGAGATGGATCTCTGCAAAGCCACATTGCCTGACAGCTCTGTTAGTACTAGGTGTGACTAAACACCTCACAGGCATCCTGCTTTTGAAGATTTTGAAACATCAGCTTCATAAATACTAACTAAGGTTCAAAATTATTTGATTGTAAGCTGTATCCGAAGGGAATGAATGGAGATGTTAAGTAGCATCATGGAGCTGAAAAGTGGTGCATCAGCTAGTGACCAGCACAAGTAAAGGCAGCACTGGCCAATTCTCCTGTCTGCTAGATTAAGCATTTTCTTGCTTTCTTTTCCTTATCTTTACAACAGCTGGATGGAGGGATCAGATATGACTGTGTCAAGGTGCTCATTCACTGAATACTCCCAACAACAAGCTCCTTACCTTTCCCAGGAAGGACTAAAAACCTGTCATAGTTTAGAAACAAAGAGGGCAGGGTCCAGCCTTTTAGCTGTAGTGGCCCATTTTGATAGGACTGCCAGTCATGATTGTCCTGATAACTGAAAGAAAGGACTTTGTTAATCTTCTCCCCAAAGGATAGTTCTGCATATGTCCATATCTTACTCAGAATCACTACACATTCCTTTAGTCTTCCTTCAAGCTCCAGAGCCATTGATATAAATGCTTTATTGAAACTAAATACATAATACATAAATTGAGATTAAGACAATATAGGAGTCAGCATAATCATATTCTGCTCCTTGGCTGGTTGAGGCATCTCAGTGGCTGAGCCTAGTCACAACGCCAACCCACAGGTGATAGTTCACTCATGACTTCGAGATTTGATGCTGATTCTTTTGGATTTCTACAATTATTAAATACATGTCTGAGTGGTCTGTCTTTGTTCCTTTGCGTTTTGAGAGCCGGCTGGGACAGGGCTAGGGTTGTTTGTCCATGGCAACTAATTTTTTGCTAGGAGGCACATTGGATGCTGCAGATAATCTCTGTCTTCTGCCTGAGCTGACAGGGAGACTGTCAAGCAGTGAAACCCAGGAAAGAATTATTGTCTCAACCAGACTTGTGCTCTGGTAGGTACTGCCAGTCTCCCTCACTGCAGTCTGGCTCTGTGGGGGTGGGAAGGTGGAAATCAGCTTTTCAGCCTTGTCCCTGAGTGCTAACATCCATCACCACTGTCTAAACAGAGATCTGGTTGTATAGTGGTCATTTGAAGGTAGATACGTCTGGACAGTTCTGGTCCAACACGGCGGGAGGTAGATGTCACACCTTCCCCACGGCGCACTTGTATGTTTGCAAGCAAATTCTGGCATTCTTGCTCTGAAAGACACCGCTGATAGGCCTGAAAAGGGTAAATGACTTCTTAATACCTATTAGTACCATCCATGGTCATCCCTCTTCCATGAGTAAGAAGGGTGCTAAGCATGGGTTGGAGGATGAGAGCCTGTCCTCCCTGGGTCAGTGTTAACAACTCTGATATTAGTAGATCTATACTGCTGACTTACAAAGCCTTTTTGAGCCTTTAATAGTACTATCTGTGGAGATTATTTAGGGTCTTGCTAAGACCACAGGGTGGTGGGCAGTGACCTTGGAGCAGCATACCTGTACCAGGAGTTGTGGGGAAGGGTAGACATCCACAATGGCACTGGCCATCTCCAAGCTGACTCGGTTCAGCTGCTGAATCTGTCTTCTCCAGACCAGTGCGAGTCCCCTGCCAGAACGGTCCACCTTTACCCCTCCAGCCCAGTCACTCTCTACACAGAAGGAGAAGCTAGTTTCATCTCGGAGCTTCCTGCAAATAGCACAGTTGGAGAGCTGTGAGTTACTTGTTATTTTCCTAGATCTGTCCCCTCAACTGGGAACTGAAAAACCCTCCACCGACTTCAGAAGAGGTAGACACTCTATGTCTGGCCTATTTGTTCCCAAGCATAGTGCTAGTTACTGATTCTCTTGAAAACTGCATCTAGTTCTTTTAATTCTCTTGCCAGGGAGGCAGTGTGGACAGGGGTAAGCACAAGGACTGGATAGCTGGCACCCTGGGGTCTATACTTGCTAGGAGCTTAGACAAGTCAATCTCTTCAGGCCTCCATCCCCTGAAGTATAAAATAAGAGAATTGGACTGGATTATCCTTTGTTAATTTTAAATTTTGTTAATATAAAATGTTAAAATTTCCCATATTGTTTAGTGGTGAGAATTTAAAATAAAATTTTAAACTTAACAAAATCTTAAATTTTGTTAATCTTAAATTCTCTGAGGTCCTTCGTTAATTTTATTTTATTTACTTATTTATTTTTTGAGACAGTTTTACTATATCACCCATGGTAGAGTGCCGTAGTGTCACAGCTCACACCAACTCCAAACTCTTGGGCTTAAGCGATTCTCTTGCCTCAGCCTCCCAAGTAGCTGGGACTACAGGCATCTGCCATAACACCTGGCTGCTTTTTGTTGCAGTTGTCATTTGGCAGGCTGGGCAGGGTTCGAACCCACTTGCCTTGGTGTATGTGGCCAGCACCCTAACCACTGAGCAATGGGTGCTGAACCCCTTCATTAATTTTAAATTCTGAACGTGAACGCTCCTTGAGTTAAGTAAGCTAAACATTTCCTCTTCTAGAGCTTACTACATTATGATCTGACCTGTAATGAATCCTGGTAGCTTGGCCTGCTGATAACCCTGTATCAACCTGCAGAATATATACATAAGCCAAAGGAGAGCATTTTAAAAGGGACCAGGCTTGGGGCTCTTCCCAAGAATCTCCTGCATAAGGTCAGCTCCTTCTGCCTCAAGCTTGTGAAATAGTGGGCTGACTACAAAGATTAGGGGAAAGGGACATTTTCTTTGGCTGTAAGAACGATTGTAAAGGACAAGGTCCAGCATGGAGGCTGGACTTGCTGGGGGTGCTCACTTGAAGGGTGCCTCCGCCACAGCCTTGGTGAATGAGCATGTAAAGTCGGCTAGTTCTTTCCAGCTCTGTACAATTTTAACTTGCGCTTCTGTGTGTAGCTGCAGATCCACCAGTGCCTAGAAATCCAAGAGCAATGACGGACTATAAGGGTGGAGAGAGACTAGTTGGAAGTCCTGTCAGTGTTCACTGAAGCCACTCCCAGTCCCTTGGTTTCCTATTTGGCAAAAAGCAGTGTGCTGTGGGTATTTTATTCTCTATCAATAACAAATCTGGTTAGATGACTAGTGGGCATCCATCCTGACTCAGGCAAGGGGAAGTTCTTACCTCTTCCATGTCGACCCTGGAAACCACGGACCCCACGCTGGCCTTTGGTTGTCTCAGCTGCTGCTTCTCCTTGGCCTGTTTATTTGCTACTCCCTGTTTCTTTCTCCTTGGGGGATTCTGAGGACTGGAGCAGAGGAGGAAATGAAAGAATGGCAGCAGCTCCAGGCTGAGCTCAGGCAGAAGAGGTGTAAGAAGACTAGACCAGTGTCCAACAGGGATTGCCAGGGGTGCTGCCTTGCAGAGCGACCCATATCTGGAATGAATAAACTCAACCCAGTTGGCCCAAGAGCTGCCCCTTCTAACACTAAATCTCTAGGGCAAGTTCAAACCTGAAGCATTTCTCCAGATCCACAATCACCAGTGACAGAGCTTTCCCTGCTGTCTTTGCTGTGACATCAGTTACAAAGCCCCGAAGTGTTTCCTTCCTTTTTTCAGTGTTGCCCAGATTTCCCTGCATGAAGGAGAAGAAACAATTAATACTTGCTTTCTAGTGAGAGGTGGCCCTCTGTTCCATGCCATAGTCCCTACCACTTGGGTCTGCCCACCTGTTTCAAGTTGTAGATCATGGATACAAACACCTCTGCCAGAAGCAACACCAGGACCATTTGTTCTTCCACTGTTTCCTCTCCATCCTGCCAAAGGGCCAGAACACAGCACAGGGAGGGAGGTGAGCAGGTTAAGCACCACAAGTGCGGCACGG